AAAAAAAGGAAAAAAAGATAGGGGGAATGATTATTATCTCAACATTCACAAGCATTTGTGGAGTGGTAAGTAAATATGCAGGAATGGTAATGACTGATATGTTTGAAAACATACCAAAATTGAAACATATTAATATTCCAGTTGAAGTAATTTTTGTACAAGAAGATGAGTTGATAGGAGTTGATGAGTCAGTAGAAATCTACAACTCAATTCCAGAGGAGATGAGGTATGGATATGATATAATCAATGGATGTAAACATAATGACATTCTTGAAAATGATGAATTAATTAAAGTAATCAAAAGATTTCTAGAAAAACTTTGAGAAATATTTAATTTACCCATAACAAAACAGAAAGTGTAAAACACGAAAATAACAATAAGAAGAAAGTTAAAAACAACACAAAAACTAATGTTGGTATTAAAAGATAGATAGAAATAAAAAATATATGAAAAGAACACTTGATAAATACACAGGGATGATTGTATCAAGATATTTTGAAAGTATTAATGACTTTATTAACTTTGAAATGACATGCAAAAAGTATGAAGGGAATATGGAAAGATTTCATTTCAATCCAATTCCAATTAACACTACAACAAGAAAATACTTTCCTAACATTGAAACAATTCATTTAAGAAGAGAAAATGAAGAAAAAAATAGAAGGAGGGAAAATCAATAAGAAAGTTATATGGTATAAACAGACATATAGCGATGCAATTGAAGAAATAAAGAAAGGAAATGAATGTAAGAATATTTGTTATACAAAAGAAGATAGAAAGAAATATGGAAATAATGTTCCTGAGAATGTTAATAGATTAGAAAATGAATGTTATAGTCATTGTATTGATTTAGAAACAATAATAATTCCATCAAATATAAAATCAATTGGATATAAATGTTTTTGTGGGTGTACTTCATTAAAATCAATTAATATTCCACAAAATGTAACATTAATTGGTGATAAATGTTTTTCACATTGTATTTCTCTTACATCAATTTCCATTCCACAACATACTAAAATGATAGATTGGATGTGTTTTTATGGATGTGATAAATTAACACAAATAACATTCACATCGTCTGTTTAATTATAAACATTTATATTTATTAAATCTATTTCATCTCATTCTATATTGACCTTTCTAATTTCCAATTTGATTTTACTATCATAGTATAAAGAATGATAACTTAAATTTCAATAGATTATGATTTTTTATTTTGTTGTATTTATTTGAGATTGTTTCATTCTCTTTCTTGATTTTCTTATTTATGAATTTCTTCTTTATCTTTATATTTATTTCTATAATTTCATCATTATTTCATTCAATATTTCTATATTTTTATTTATTATATTTTCTCATTATTTCCATTTGTTTAATAATTCACTCTTTCTTTAGTTTTTAATTGTTTCTTTATTATGTATTATATTTGTTGTTATTCTTTTTATTCTATTTTATCTTGAATATTTCTATTCATTTCTATTTAAGTAATAAATACCATACTTCTCCTTTTATTATTTTAGTTTATCATATCTTTTCTTTTCTTATTTTATCTATCTTCTTCATAAATATTTCTTTGTTTTATGAATTATTTCTTTTTTCAATATATTGAATTTTTCTTTATGTTATATTCTTCTTTGATTTTATCATTTCCTTCCATTTTTTATTTGTATTAAATATTAATTTCATTTGATTTTGTTCTTTTTGTTATTCATCATTGATACACATATTTTGTATTTTATTTGAGTTGTATTTATTCATCTCTTCTTTCTTTTTCTTTTTTTATACATTCTTATTTTATTTGATATTCTTTTTGTTATTTTATCATTACAAAAACTCCTCTATTCTTATTATTGTTTTCTTATTTCATACAATTTGTTTATATTCATTTTGTATATTCTTCTTCATTTGATTTTTAATTTCTTGTCATTTGGGTAAATCTCTATAAAACCTTCATCATTTAAATTTTCTTTATCAATAAAAACATGTTCTTTCATTGTAATTTAATATTCTATCTAGTGACACTCATCATCAAATCAATCAAAGTGTATTTAACACATCTGAACAACTTGACAGTTGTATTGTGTTATTGTCTTTTCTAATTTTCTTTAAATCATCATGTTTATCACAATGAACAGACAAAAGATAATATTTTCGTTTTTATCATCATGAATGAAAAGACTTTTAACATCTGAAACCTCTTTCATATCAAATACAATTTCATGTTCAGTAGTTTTGTATTGAATTTTGTGATTATCTAAACATACACTTCTGATTTATTCATTTTTGTAGTTAAAATATTAGATTTTGTAATGAGTTTGTGTATTAATAACATCTAATACTTTCTTAAACAATACAAATTAATTCTATCATTATGAAATAAAGATGATTCATGTTGGTATAATATTGTTTTTAACTATGAAACACAGACATTGTTTATTATCAATTATTACAGAATATATTCAATGAAATAAATTAACCACAATTGAATTTAGTTTAAAATGAATGAATTGATTAACGTCTCATTGTTTATTTTATTTCATAACATACAAACAAATCATAGTTTCATTGTTATTGAATTAATGTCAATGAATCTTATAAATAAAATCAAATAATACATAAATAAGAAAATGAAATGGAAATAATAAACAGAAATTATGAAATAAACATTAAACAATAATGTTGTGAAATGAACTTATTCTTTTTATTTAAATTCTTGAAATTCCTTTTTCTCTTCTTTCTAAAAAATGAATTGAATATTTTACTATTTTCTATAATATCCTTTCTATTATTTTATTATCCACAAAATATTCACAATTTTGATTATTAGATTGATTTGATGTTTCATTTTTTGAATATTTCATTTATTCTCATTCTATCATTGTGGTGTTTATAACATTTAATTCATCTATTCTTGTGATGGTTGACTCTTCAAAATGAAAAGACAGTGCATTAAAAGAAACATTGACTTGAATTAGAAGAGAATGGGTAGAATGAGAAATGAGATGTTTAAGTTGTTTACAAAGGTTGAAAGAGTAAAAACAGTTGACCAAGAATATCAGATGATTAGAGAAAAATCCATTGAATCAGAAAAGAAGTTATTCTCAACATTACAAACAATTATCAAACTCAAAAACACACTTCATGAAGCTGCTTTACTTCAAGTTGAAATTTCATACTCATTATGTGAAATGACACTAAACAACCTCAAAGCAACACAACTGACTAACTCCATTTTGAATGCATCACAGGATATTCTGAATCAACAAAACTATTTCAATTCATTCATCAAAGATAATGTAGAAATCCCTCTCCATTCATTTCTTAATCAATTCAGAATATTAAGTAGAAGAGACTGTGAGTTGGAAGAAAGAAGAAAAAAAATGGATAAAATAAAACAACAAGTAAGAAGAAAAAGAAAAAGAAATTAGCATGTTCTTCTTTAATTTCCATCAACAAGAAATATCAACAAAGTAAAGAAGAATATTTAGAAATGAGAAATGAATTAAAGAATGATAGAAATATTCTCCTTAAAACAATTTCAGAGATAGCAGAAAGTATTGGTCAAGTATTTATTAGAGAAGGATGGGGTTGTCTCACAATGAACAGTAAAATTTGGGAGAGAGTAAGTCAATATCATTGGAAAGATGAAGAAAAGAACATTTTAGAACTGACTAATGTCATCACCAATTCAGTCAAAACACACTCTGTTCAAAACACCACCAGAAAACCAACGAATGTATTTCATGGAAGAGTTGTTTATAGTTACAACCCACAAAATGAATCTGAATTGAAATTAGAAAAAGGAGAATGGATCACAGTTATTTCTACTGATGGAGAATGGTGGGAAGGAGAAAGTAAAGGGAAAATAGGAATATTTCCATCTCATTATGTTGAAAGAGATGTTAAAATCAACTAAGAAATTGTTTGTGCAATAGTTTATTCAAAATCAAATGACTAATTATTTATACAATGAAATGTTGTGTTTTTAACATGACTATGATAGAACAAATATGAATAAATGAGTATAGATATGATGTTCATATGAAAATACACAATACACAATGTTAGAATGATTATTTCATAACTAAAATAATAACACAAAAAC